CTCCCACTTAAAAGGGACAAACTCAATTATAGAGCTTTATGTTATGCAATGCAAGTGTTGTGTGTGAGGAGAAATGTTCAAACCTCTAACAGACAAATAAAATAATTAATACTTGAATAAAATAAATAAAAAAATAAAAAGTAATAAAAAGTAATAAAAAATTTGAAAGAAAAGAATTAAAAATTAAATATATGAATTTTTAATTTCTAACTGATAGAGACAATTTACAATTGATTTTAAAGTTTGACAGTAATCCCCAGGCGGAGTCGCCAAGCTGTCGTAACCGATTTTCGTCTGGGCACGAATTTTGTACTAGGCGGGAAAAGTGATGTGAGTAAATGGTTTTTTAAAATAATTTGGGAGTCGCCATCGGCCTTTTGGGTCAGGTAGGTCGAATACCTAAAAATCATCATTTAAAAGAGTTTTTAAGAAAACATCGATTAAAAGATAAACTGATCTGCGTTTTAACCAAAAATTCGTTCTTTTTAATAATAAAAAGGGATTTGTGGTCGGTTACGTTTAGGGAAGGATTAGCACCCCTACAACGCCCAAAATTGGTACTTTTTAATTATAAATTGTCTCTATTATTAAAATTCAAAGATATATTTAATTTATAATCCTGTTATTTATAATTTAACGATATATATATATATATATATATATATATATATATTTAAATAACATATTTATTTATTTAGAAATATCAGGAAAGGGCTTCTAGGTACTTTAAGACAGCTCTTTCTTTTGATATTAAAAAAATAATAATAAAAAATTATTTTAATATAGTAAGATATTTATTTATTTAAAAATATTAGAAAATGGCTTCTAGTTGTTTTAAAACAGCTCTTTCCTTCAATATTTAAAAATAAATAAATAACTAAAACATAATAATAAAATAAAATTAAACATATCTAGTTCATAAATAGGATTTTTATTTCATAGAAAACAAATAAAATAAATAAATATTATTTATTATATATATTTATATGACTAAGATAATAATAAAATAATAATTAAAGAAATAATTGAAAAATAAAAGTAATAATATTGTAAATAAATAATTATTAAAATAAAATAAATTAAAAATATAGTGTTAAAATGTAGAATATTTAAACTTAGTACTCTACTTCAAAATATCATAAAATCCAGAGGCCTACAGTGTAATTTAGCCTTAATAATATATACGGGATTAAAATAAAATTTATTAAAATTACCAGGGACTAATTAGGTATTTACCGTAAATATGTATAATTACGGGTAAGACTAAAATGTAAAGAAAATAAAATTTAAATACCAAATTGAAAGGCTCAATAATTGATTTTAGTGACCAAAATGTAAAGATATAAATATAGAAAGGTCACGGAAAGGGTTTTACCCTTGATGGTAATTACAGAGATACTCCCTCCCCAAAACGACGTCGTTCAGGGAGGGGTTTAAATACCCATTCATCGGCTGAGAATGGCTTTACGCCTTTCATTTTCTTCTTTCCTTTTTCTCTCTAAAAAGAGAGATAAAAATTCTCTCTGCCTTCTCCGATGAAGGCAATCGGTCGGCCGCCTTGCTCCGGTGCCAGCACCACCGCCGACCACCGTATCCGGTGGCCGAAAATTACAAAACCCCCCTTAAATTGAAGTCTCTATTTTTCTATACCCGAATCTAAAGTTTTTTTAACCTAAACTCTTACCAATCGTTGTAGATCTAGGATCTTTTTCTTAAACGTTTCGGTTTCTGGTGGCTCGTAGAGGCTCCTCGGTGGTAAGTTCCCTTCTCTCTTCTTTATTTGCTGTTGTGGGTTTATTTGTTGTGTGTCGTTTAGCTTCTGTTCTCTTAGTTGCTCTCGTGGTTCTCTGTTTTTTTTCCTGTTCTTTTCTGTTGTTCTTGCTCTGTGTTTGCTTACTGTGGCTGTGTCTTTCGTTTTGAAGGATCCGGTGGCTTTTATAGCCACCACGGAGCCATGCTCAGACCGGTCCAGAGGGGGAAGTTTAGTGAGTCACCCTTGAACATCGACGCGTGGAGAGTGTCGTGGAAGATGGCTGAGGCATCTGGCAGCAGTTGGTTGAAGCAGTGGTGTCGTGGCTACAGCGGGATGGAACACCTGGTAGAGGCGTCGGCTGCTGCTGGAGACTATTGGAATTATCAGAGGCTGCTGGAAGCTGAACCGTTGGCTGGGGCGGCTGTTGTTGGCGTCTGGAAGCTAGGGTTTAGAAAACCCTAGCTGAAATGTTACAAACCCTAAAGGGTTTGGGTTTTACTAGGCCGGTTGATCGGGCATGTACTGGATTGGGCCTCTGATGTAATTTGTAATATATATATATTTAATAATAAATAATAATAATATATTATATTAATAATTATTATTATTATTATTATGAAAAAATTAATGTCTACAAATCCCATGGGTAATTTTCTTTAGTTTCACACATGCTCATGCATACATATCCATACATGGAAATAAAATCTGGGTTTTTTTTCAAGGGCTTAGGGTTTATAACATAAACTAATATTTAACAGAATGGGGAGAGGGTGACAAACCTGTAAAGCAAGGAGTTGGGATTCAAGTGATTCAAGGGCATCTCGAATATCCAAAAGCCTCTCGGTTGTTTCTTCATCTTCATCCGCTCCACCTAGACTTTGATGAGAATTAAGGCCTTTGTCTCCATTCATGCTACCATTTTCATGGTTTTGTGGGTTTTGTTCGCAAACAGGCTTGGCGGCTTTTGTGATGCAGTTGCTGATTTTCAATCTCAGCTCCGTAGCTCTTGCTAATGCTAACCCTACTCCCTCTTCTTCCATCTCTTTCCCTTCTTCACTCCCCCTGGTTTCCTGTTTAAATGACAGAGAAACGAAAGAGAAGAAGATGGAGAGGAAACTGGGATTTATTTGTCAAGAGACCTAAGTCTGTTTTCTTTTTCAGGAGCACAAGGCCAAGAAGTTGGGCTGATAAACCCAAAACCCCAACAGTGATTTGGAAGAACAATCTCTAACCAATCTTTACAAAAACAAGATTATGTGGGTTCTTTCTCTCTGCTACCTATGGTTCCTATGCTGCCACTTGTATGAAACCATACAACTAGTCATTTTCTCTCTTGCTTTGAATCAGATATTGCTGCATGGTTTTGTAAATGGTATTTGTAGATCGGGTTTTACATAATCCGACCTAAAGACAGTTTCTTTATGAGCAAATTGTGTTCTAGTTTATGTTCCTCATATATGATCTTGTCCACCTTGTTCTTATTAGGAATGTTGAAAGGCTGAACTAGGATCAAGAATTTTAATCATAAAACTTATCAAGATGTTTTAGTTACAATATCATATTATACACAATAAATTCTTGCATTTAGATGCATACAAAAACTTCAAACATGATTAGGAATGACAGCCAAATCACAACCTTCCCAGTGGAGTAGCGACTAATGACTATCCATCTTTCTCAAACTTGTTTCTTCAGCTCATTTGATCCTGGGGCCATGAGTCTACCAGAACTGAATATTGAAGCCAAAGGGTTTTCAGAAAGTTGCAGTTATGATTCATCTGTTATTCGAAAATAGACATCGAATGCGATCACTGAGCCAATTCTTTTGAAAATATATATCGAAATGCAAAGTTGTGGGAGATCCACTCAATGGTTTTCCCAGTTTTCATCTTGCAAGATGGCTGAAGATTCTTCCTCAGTGAAGCAAGCATAAATTGCTCAACCATCTGCAGCAAACCAGGTGAGCAAACATTTGAATCTTTTGCAAAATACTCCATGAGTTTCGGTAACATGATTTTCTGTTCTTTGTTGATACTCCAATTTGCCTGGATGTACTACTCTTTTGCAACTTCCAGCTCCCGGAACACTTTCTTTGGTGTGTATATACGGAACTGTAGAGTCGATTCAAGTCAATGAGTTATCATAAAAATTGAGCATTAACATTTTATATACCCTGCTGCCATTAGATATGATCTCACACAGAAGGATGCAGACAGCAGCCTACCGCAGGGTCCGAATAGCTTCCCAAACAAAGTGCAAAATGCAGAAGAGGTTCTGGAGATTCGATTGTGTACGCTCTTCGAGGATCCCCGACCTTAAATTTCGTCTTTGAAGGAAACAAAAACCGTAGCCACTGCAAGCAGATGTAAGTTGTTAGTTCTTTTGGAGTCATGATAAATGAGTACCTGTCCGGGGAAGGAAAAGTACCTGTCCAGGACGAGGCAACCGACATCCCAGAATAGAGCTCTGTATTGTGTCTATGCTTATGGTCTGTCCCCCCACATCATAGGCAGCCTGGATCATACATAGACTTGTAAATGCAATGGTAAACATCCATTCGATGATCTTTAGTTAAATTAACCAGAAAAGCTTTGCTTACCTTGAGTAACAAGGACAATCCTTCAGATTGTTTTTCGGAATGCCCTAAACCAGAAACGCCTGCAAGAACAAAACATGTTGCAGTTGCTCAAGGAACTTATAGGGAAAAGATAAAAAAAAGATAAAATTTTGGGAGAAAGTGAGAAACATTACATGCATCACCAGAGAATTGTGTACATTAATCCAGAAAGCTAGCTTCTCTTCCTGTTTCATCCTTCTAACATCAACTTCTTCGAGCTGATACACAAGGGACCTATAAAATGATCAATTTAGATTAGCTATTTCGGTCGACACGAGAAATCGAATACATGTGGGATTGATAAATGAAGCTCACCTATAATATTGGAGCTTATGTTCAATATCCTGTACCTTCTCAAAACGAAAGGCTGGTCTTTTCAAAAAGGCCAGTGAACTCAGCACCCTCTGCGGTGTTGAGATTGCTCTTATAGTCTTCCCGCCTGCCAATAAGGCCTTCTCTTTTGGCGCCCCCAGCGTCAACACTGTTCTCGATCTTATCTCGGTCATAACCCGCGGGAAAGTTCGATGATCATCGAGGCTCACCGTGAGTCTAATGTCCATCAGCTCAACATGGCGCATGCACAGGTTTAATTCATTTTCCGCTTTGTTTACGAGTCGTTTGTATCACGTGATGGGCCAACTGGAAGGTCAAAACAAGTGCTGTAAAGAGCTCGACAAAATAGAGAAAACAAACCGACATCAATACTGGTTCCAGTCACCAGTTGAGGAACTCGATCTCTCTCAGCTCATGCAACTCAAATCCGCCATGAATGGGTTGAAAAACAATGTGGAAGAACAGAAGGTAGCTATTCTGAATGCGAATCGCCATCAGTTTTTCTTGGGGAATTCAAGCCAAGGGCTGGTTCATGATTATAACTACAATACGATGGCTGGGCCATACAATCCTGTACAAGAATACAGTGCCAATCCTGCAAACGGATATAATGTAACTTTCAGGAAAACGACATCCTTGATCTTCATGAATCTGGTCCTCAAGGATTTCAAGGTGGATTTTTTTAGTTAACTGGTCGTGTTAAATGAACAAAGAGAAACAGCAGCAACCACCAAGGTTTCTCTATGATTATTTCTATGACATAAATTATATATATATATATATATTGGATCTTACAATTTTTTTTATGATTGAAGTATAATTTATTTTCCGATAGAATATATGTAGTTTATCAGGTAAGAAACTGCAAATAAAATGGTTAGTGAATGAAAGGTAAAATAAATTTAATTTGGGCGTATAATAATAGTAAATTGCTATTGGCTTTTTGGTGAAATTATGACATTCCCATGTATTAACCTGGTCATTATTATAAAGCTTATCCTATTATATTTCATGCCTTGTAAAATTACATCCACCTATAATTCAGTTGACGAATATAAAATCAAGTAAACTTTAAAATAATTCTTTGTGTGGGTTTCAGATTATGATTTTGTGATGTAATTGATATATTGAGAATCATAATTTTTCCTTGATTTAACGAAATAATATCTTTTTATAAGATGAAAAGGCAAAGAGGACGACTTCAACACCATAATAAGGTGTTAAGTTCACTATTCTTTTAAAAATATTAGGGTTGTAAATAAGATAAGACAGATCGTGAGCTATTCGAGATTAGTCACCTATCTTCCTTTCCATTGAGTACTATGATTGGTCCAAGGACTTTTAAGTTCATAAACATGTGGATATCACAAGAGGGGTACGAAGAAGTAATAAAGGAAGCTTTAGAAGATGCAAAAAATGGATCTTCTCACAAAATTGAGGCGGGTGAAGAAAGCTTTGAAAACATGGAATATGCAGCATGTAAAAACGTGGGAATGGAGGTTAAAAAATTGGAAGAAAGGATACTCAAAATTGAAGAAAACACGTACTAAACACAGTAAATCTGTACAACTCAAAGGGTTAAAAACTAATCCTCAAAGTCTGTATAAATGCTTTATTACACCAATTACTTACCCCATTCCAAAACATGCCCCTTACCGTCCCTCTAGTGCTTTTTGTTGTCCTCGTACTGGTTTTTGTTCTTTGTTGGTTTTAAAGATGGAGAGAAAAAACCTAGGAAGACAGAGATGAAAAAGATGACAAAACGAAAGCAACCTTCAAGTCACCTTCTCAAAACGAAGGGCTGGTCTTTTCAAAAAGGCCAGTGAAATCAGCACCCTTTGTGGTGTTGAGGTCGCGCTTGTTGTCTTCACGCAGGGCAAACAAGGCCTTCGCTTTTGGCGTCCCTAGCGTCGATACTGTTATGGATCGTTATCTCGGCCGCAACCCACCGAAAAGTTCGATAACGCCGCAGATCGTCGAGGCTCACCGGGAGTCTAACGTTCATCAGCTCAACATGGAGCTCACGCAGGTTTGGTAATATCTTTTCGTTTTTTGCTTTGTTTCATTGAATAAGATAATATATTGTGCACCGGTCATTTTGTATCAGTTGATGGAGCAATTAGAAGCCAAAAAGAAGCTCGGTGAATGTTAGGCTATAGCATACTGTGTACATGCATGTATTATAGTATGGCTTTGGCAGTCAGTTAGTTTAGGCGCCAAATATTGTTAGTCAGTTAAGTGGTTGTTAGCTTGACTCTAGCTATAAAGCTAGTATGAATGTAAATACAACTAACGTGAATTCAATACATTTTCTTCATATACAGTTTCTTAATATGGTATATTTTGCCGTTGGTCTTGGGGTTTCTTGAAAAACTATTGCTGCGCGATTCTTGCTTGGTGTTTCAATGGAGTCGTCCATAAGTACGAGCTTCTCTCATAAGAAAAATCAGCGTTGTTCTTGATGAGATGAACTACCTTCTGTGGAAGCAACAAATTCTGTTCACGGTAAGGAGTCACCGTCTTGAGCGCTTGTTGACCGGAGCTCTACAATCACCACCGGAGACGATTCTTGATGATACCGGTGCGATTCGTGTCAATGATGCATTTGAGGATTTTGTTGCGCAGGATAGTGCGCTTGCTTCGTGGCTCCTGTCAACCATTAGCTCTCATCTTCTTCCTCATTTTGTTGGTGTTGAATCTGCAGCTGCAGTATGGAGTGTTGTGCAACAACTCTTTGCGAGCAGATCCACGACGGCTGCTATGAGTTTGCACTGCAAGTTGCAGTCGCTTAGGAAGGGAAATGATAGCATGCGAGTGTATCTCACTCGTGTAAAAGAGGTATGTGACGCACTTGCCTCGTGTGGTAGTGCAGTTTCACATGTTGGACATGTTGCCAGCATCTTGAAAGGATTGCCCAGGGAGTATCAACCGTTTATGGCAGTCATCACTACGATGAAGGAAACACTGTCGTTGGATAGCCTTTACACCGTCCTTCTAGATGCGGAAGCACAGTTGGTCGGGTTCGATGAGTAGTTTGATTATGCTCCTATGGCAGCCAATGTTGCTGAGAGAGTAGAAGGTCATGACTCCTCTGATGGACGACGTGATTCTAAATCTGCACGCTCATCGTTTACAAACAGGACAGGCGGACGAGGCCGAGGACGAACTAAGATTCAATGCCAGCTATGTGGTAAATTCGATCACTTGGTTGATCGATGCTGGCATCGTTATGATGAAGAGTTGATGTGTGTTACATCTGAGTCTCAAGCTCATAAAGGGCAGTCTGCCAATGCACACTACTCTGCTACTGAAACTTCAAACCTGGGATGTGAATGCTGTAAAGGCCATTCTCAGCCAGCAGGTAATTTGCAAGCTAATACGGTCTCCAGGTCCAGTCATCATTGGGTGATGGATTCTGGAGCTACGTATCATATCACACCAGATGCTGCGAATGTCTCGAACCCTGCTGAATTTAGAGGTACAGGTAAACTTACTGTTGGCAATGGAGTTTCTGTTGATATTCATAATGTTGGTAATGCGGTTGTTTCTTCTGCTTCTTCAAGAACTCTAATCTTGACTGAATTGTTGCATGTGCCTCACATAACCAAGAATTTGCTTTCGGTCTCTAAGCTTGCTAGGGATAACAAGGTTTACCTTGAATTTCATGCTGAGAAGTGCTTTGTTCGTGATGAATTCTCTAAGGCGATTCTTCTGCAAGGTGAAGAGAAAGGAGGACTCTATATTTTTTCGCTTAGTGATCTGACTTCACAAGGTTGTGGTGCTACAGTTCATCTTGCAACTACAGATGTGACTCAATCTGAGCTATGGCATCGACGGTTGGGACATCCAGCTAGTTTTGCTTTTAATAAAATTGCAAAAGAAATTGATGTAAAACTGGATATTGATGTTAATAAAACATGTGTGGCTTGCTTTATGGGCAAAAGTCATAAACTCCCTTTTTCTGCATCCAATACTGAGTATACTGCACCATTTGAACTTGTATTCTCAGACTTGTGGGGACCTCCTCATATTGCTTCCAATGGCTTTCGCTATTATATAACCTTTGTGGATGCGTTTACCCGTTTTACTTGGCTTTATCTACTAAAAGACAAAGCACAAGCTGTTGACACGTTTCAATTGTTTCACAAACTGGTAGCAAACCAATTTGGCAGCTCAATCAAAGCTTTTCAGTCAGATTGGGGTGGAGAGTACAGAGTGTTTTCTGTATTTCTTGTAAAGTCAGGGATTGTGCATCGGTTGACTTGCCCTCACACGTCTGAACAGAACGGAGTTGTTGAGCGTAAGCATCGCCATGTTGTTGAATCAGGACTCATCCTGCTAGCCCAAGCGTTCATGCCCATGCAGTACTGGTCATATGAATTTGTGACTGCTGTTCATTTGATCAACCGTCTTTCTACGGTGGTGCTGGGAGAATTGACTCCATACGAGAAACTGTTTCAAAAGAAACCAGAGTATGCTTCGCTCAAGGTATTTGGATGCCAGTGTTTCCCGCATCTAAGACCCTTTGAGAATCACAAGTTGTGCTTTCGATCTTAATCTTGTACATACCTTGGGTTTAGTCCTCAGCACAAGGACTACCAGTGTTTGGCAAGCAATGGTAGAGTTTATATCTCTAGACATGTTGTGTTTAATGAGAAAGTTTTTCCTTTTGCAGATAAAGCTACTGCTCGCCCACATCATGCACAAAATGCTCGTTCACGTGATATTCCAGTTGTTGCAGATATGAGGAGATGGATTAATGATGTGGCTCCAACCGATGTTCATAATGAGGTGGGACATGCTGTTGGTAGTCACCAGAACGTGGTCAATGCGCGTGATAATTTTCATGGGGCCTTGCCGGTTGCAATAACGCGTGCACATGGAGATTGGCCATGTGGAGCAACGATCACTCATGATGCAGATGGGGCCACTTCAACAAATGGAGTAATACCCACCATCGTGGACAATGCGCACGGGTCCATCGTACGCGATGATCACGATGCAATTACCTTGGATGCTATCTCAATTGCAAATCAAATTAATGGCAGTGCAAATAGGGCCACGCCATTTGAAATAATTGCCGACCATGCACATGGGGTCATGCTGTTGGAAGCATTGGCCGACCAAAATAATGAAAACAGAGTCACACGTGATAATGCCACCCATGGTAGTGCTGTTTATAATAATGCAGGTGGGGCCTCACGTCTTGGAGTGTTGTCCTCTTCTTCAACGGGAAACAATCGTGCAAACATTGGGACCACACCGAGCGACGTGCTAGATATTGGAGATGGTGCACGTGATAGTGGAGCTCGTGATAGTCTCTTAGATAATGTTGAAGCCACGCATTATAATAATAGTTTGGGAGCCACACCGCTTGGACTTGGTGCAGCCACACTGCGTGGATTGGGAGAAATGTCTACCTTATCGGGCGACAATGATGTTGGGGCTGCACCGCCCGGAATGATGGACGTTGCTGGGGCCGTGAACATTGATGCAAATAATTTGAATAATGCAAGCACTACGCAGGTGATTGAAGAATTGGACTTGGCCAATAATGTACAGAGTACTAATCTACCATCTAGGGAGAATTTTCATCCAATGATGACTTGCAGCAAATGTGGAGTTTTTAAGCCTAAGGCGTACTCCACTCATTTCGACAATGACACACCTTCCACAATTCAAGAGGCGTTACAGTCGACTAGTTGGAAGGAGGCAGTTCAAGCTGAGCTAGATGTTCTTCAAAGAAACGATACATGGAGGTTGATGAAATTACCAGAAGGGCGTATTCCAATTGGGTGTAAATGGTTGTTTAAACTGAAACGAAATCCAGATGGCTCCATACATCGCTATAAGGCACGATTGGTTGCAAAAGGTTACTCGCAAGTTCCAGGGTATGATTTCCTTGATACGTTCAGCCCAGTTGTTAAGTTTTCTTCTCTTAATGTTGTTTTGACCTTAGCAGTATCTAATGACTGGGAGTTGAGGCACGTTGACATTAATAATGCGTTTCTCAATGGAGACCTCACTGAGGATGTGTTCATGCAACAGCCGCCAGGGTTTGTGCAACTTGCTGAAGATGGATCTGTTCTTGTCTGCAAGCTACAGAAGGCCTTATATGGATTGCGCCAGGCACCTAGGAATTGGCATGCCAAGCTCAGGGATAGCCTCGTGCAGATTGGTTTTACAGCATCTCGAGCAGATTCATCTCTGTTTTTCTGTAAACGAGATGCTGGTGACATATATGTATTGGTCTATGTTGATGACATAGTCATCACTGGATACTCGTCGTGTGAGATTCAAGAAGTAGTGAAGCTGTTGAGTGAAAGGTTTTCTCTCAAGGACCTTGGTGCACTTCGTTTCTTCTTGGGAATTGAAGTGCATCGCTCTCATGGTTCTCTGTTCTTAAACCAAGAAAAGTTTGTGCTGGAGCTACTGGATAAAACTAGTATGATTGGTGCAGCTGCATGTTCCACACCGATGATACTGGCGTCAAAATTGTCAAAAGATATTGGGGAGCTGTTGTCAAATGCGAGTGAGTATCGCAGCATAGTTGGCTCATTGCTTTATTTGTGCCATACACGTCCTGATTTAGCCTACAATGTTGGAAAGGTGGCGCAATTCATGCATGCACCACGTGAACCACATTGGCTTGCAGTCAAGCGTATACTTTGATATTTGGTTGGAACTGTGAATTATGGGTTAATGTTCCAAGCAAGTGAGGCGGAATTGCATGTGTCAGCTTTTGCAGATGCAGATTGGGGAGCAAGCATTGATGATAGACGGTCAATTTCTGGCTATGGGGTGTTCGTTGGAAAATGTCTTGTTGCGTGGTGCTCAAAGAAACAGAAAATGGTGTCTCGATCCACGATGGAGGTAGAATACAAGTGTCTTGCCGATGCTGCTGTTGAAGTTACATGGACAAGATCTTTGCTTGCAGACCTAGGGATTCAACAACGGAGGGAGTCGGTGGTTTGGTGTGACAACACCGGAGCAATGGCTATGAGTGCTAATCCCGTGTATCATGCACAGTCGAAGCATATAGATCTTGACATTCACTTTGTCCGAGAGAAGGTGGCTGCAGGACTGTTGAAGATCAACTACATACCATCTGCACATCAAATAGCAGATGGCTTTACAAAGCCTCTCTCAAAGTCAGCTTTTGAGGAGTTTCGTCACGATATATGTGTGATGCCAGGGGTGTAGAGTTGATTGAAAAAAAATGAAAAGAGTATGGAGAATGTTAGGCTATAGCATACTGTGTACATGCATGTATTATAGCATGGCTTTGGCAGTCAGTTAGTTTAGGCGCCAAATATTGTTAGTCAGTTAAGTGGTTGTTAGCTTGACTCTAGCTATAAAGCTAGTATGAATGTAAATACAACTAACGTGAATTCAATACATTTTCTTCATATACAGTTTCTTAATAGTGAAGAGCTTCACCAAAGGGAGAAAGCTAACCAACGGTAGTACTGGTGCCAGTCACCGGTTGAGGAACTCGATCTATCTCATCTGCAGCTACTCAAATCCGCCATGGACGGGTTGAAAAGAAAGGTTTAAGCGCACAAGGTAGCTATTCTTATTTATTTATATATTTATTTTCATTTTGTGCTTTTCAAACTCAAAGAGATTTTTTTTTTTATTTTGAGATTTTGATGTTCTTCAGTGGGTTTCTTATTACTTTTTTTGTTTAATTTTTATGCTTTATTTTTATTTTGTTCTTTAATTTCTTATGAACTTGTGGTGTTATTAGCGGTTTGTTTAACATTTTTTCAACATTACCGACAATACTATAATAAAATTTAATATCTTATTTTATTCAATTAAAATTATTCAATATTTTTTACCTCGATCATAGATGAGTTTAATTCTATGAAAATGACAGTTCATCTTAATTGATGAAAATATTATATTTCGGACTATATTTTTTTGCATAAATTTTAACGATTTTTTTGGAACATGTAATTATACTAGTTTTAGTTATTGAAATTTTAAATTGAAAGATTATATATGTGAGTTATATTAGATTATTGTTTTTATTATATTTATGTTGTCCCAATCAATAATATTTTTCTGGATTCGCCACTGGTCGCTAATACTCAAACACATAATTTATAAGAATAACAATCACCCCTTTAACTATTGTATTTAAACCATTATTATAATAATCTTTTGTAGCTTTATGTTGGCAAATTTGGGTTGATAATGTGATAGAAGGGTATATATCGAGGAATTTTTTTTTTCAAGTATGATGTTTTGAACGATAATTTGAGGAAGATATATGGAATAAATGACGCCTTTTAAAAGACGATCGGATGATACATAATTTTCCCCAGTTACATGTATGTCAGAAAGCTTCAGGCATGATCATCTTTCTGTACATCGTTCAAGCTATGAAGAAGATACACTGTAATTCATGTGTCTTCATAATTAAGTCATTTATTTCATGTGTCTTTCTAATGTTATTGTTCAAAACACCCTACTTGAGAGAATAATTCTGAAGGTGCAATAGAGGGAAATGTTTTTTCATTTTATTGTCTCAGTAGTTTTGCCCTTCATAATTTCTTTTAACGAGATAAATCGATTGAAGTCTTATAATAATGTGCTAAAAAATCATATAAAGTGTAAAGAAAATTATTTTTCAAATAGAATATTTGATACATTACTCATTGAAATTTGTTTGAATTACACTATGACTTTTGAAAGACACCTGGATCACCTAACGACTTCTGGAACGCCACCAATTATCCTTGCTACATAGTACATGCATGAAGCATAAAGAAGACGTCCTACAATTCAAACGATTTTTAAAAGTTATCGTGTCTTTTAGATGATTTTCAATAAATAATGTAGCGAATACTCTATTTAAGAAAAATATTTTTTTATACATTCTATACGAACAATCTTTTTCTAACCCCTTATGCAAGAAAAATTACCGAGATAAATCATCCAAAACAATCAATTCTAACATTCCCCTTAATAACATATAAATATTAATTATACATTCCGTGGCGGATCTAAAATTACGTTTTAAGATAAACATATATATTAATAAGAGAACATTTTTACACGAAATATACATGAATAAAAATTAAGAATAAATATCACTGATAAAATAAAAAACTAACATAAAAAAAATTTGCATTTAAAAGTAAACATATATCTGAGTAACATTTACATCCACTCCGCATACATTTATAGTAATTAATTTTAATTATTACATATTTGAATTATTATAAATTTTAATTCTACTTGCAACACGTAAAAATTAAATGCGTAATATTTGGATGGTTATCCACGTAAATATGGTCCTCAAACATCATATCAAAACATAGAAGGGGATTGGAGAAAGGGTGGATCCTATGCCACTTTACAAGCGTCCAAGCCGTATCCGACCAATGTCGCGACTGATAACAGCTGTGAACCAACGTTCTAGTTTAGAGCCTGACAGCCCACACACCACATTCCCAATGTCGAACTCAATGGTCCAATAATCAACCAACTTTTTTTTAATGCGCACACACACCCTAGGCGTTTTTCCCGAAAAATCTATAGTGATCAGTATATTTATCGATCTAACACTGGTCAGATTATATTTCTTGATTTAACATCATTTGCAGTAAAGCACGCCCTCTGTATCGCGTTATATGTTGATTTAGCGTCACGTGGGGTAAGACGCCCCCTGAACCGCGCTATATGCTGATATAAAATACACATGCGTATAGCGCGACCTCTGGAGCGCGCCTTATACCACGTAGGATATAGGCGCGGGTCAGGGGCCACGTCTTACCTTTAATTCTATGATATAATTATATATAACGCGGGACAAGGGCCGCGCCATACCTTTAACTCATATAATTATATAAGGCGCGGTGCAGGTACAACTCCTTGTATAATTATAGCAACTTTTCTCGGCTATAAATATCATTCTACCCCGGTTAAGTTCCTCAATCTCTCCTCTCAACTTATAAATTAATACAATAATTCCGTCAACGAGTCAATAATTCTGACAATAGTCTCATATTTGATTCAAAAATTCGTGCGATTTTTCGTTATAAGGTAATTTTGTGATAAATTTTTTTTATTATACTTATTGTTTATTATGATTATTTGAAAAAATATTATATTAATTATTGTCAATTAATTTCTGTGTTTGTAAAATTAGAAAGCGGGAATATACGTCGAAATAGTTTTGCAGTACAGGTAATAATATAAAATTATATTATTTAAATTATTTACGTTTATGTGTAAAAAATTTATTCTGTTATATTTTCGTTCATATATTATTTATTTAATTAGTATTGTTTCAGTTGTTTTTTTTGCAGATATAATATTGCCGCACTTTTAAACTCAAAGAATGGCGCGACTTTCAGCTATTGTTTATTATGATGGTGAAATTCGAGAAGATGAAATCGGCGTTGTTTTCGTATCAAATGAGCGTGTTAAAATATCATTGAAGAGAAACATAACTCTTGAGGAGCTGATAACGAAGATTTCGATGAAGATTCATGTTAGAAGTAGTAGAAGAATGTCATCGTTGCAGTACATATTTCCAACATCATTGTTGCCATTAACTTATACAGCATTCGAACTTTTGAACAATGATGATGTTGAAATGATGGTTGAAGCTCAAAGTAATTATTCAGACGTCGATATTGAGATGTATGCAAAATTTTATTCAAGTGCGTGTCGTTCGGGGTCAATCATTAAGCTCCCACTATGGGCTGGCTGAACATGTTGATCAAGTTGACAGCCCGACGACAGTAATGTGTAATGATTTTAATATTATAATGGGGATACATTCATCCGCAACTCCTTACGATATGTACCGAGGTGGGTCGACGAACAATCCGTATGGCAACATCGCGTCCAGCTCAAGGGGAAAACATTCATCTGCAAATCCGTTTGACCTTAATATGGAGATGTCATCGACGCAACCATCTGTGCAGTTTCCATTTGACACGATGACTTCAAGCTCCAGGGGGAGGCATTCGACTGCGAGCTTTTTCGATCTCAATGTCGATATACCTTCTAGTTCAAGGGGAAGGCGTGCAAGTAGTAGGTTCTTCGACCTAAATGTGGAGCGCATGGAGAAACCATCATCTCCACCAGAAGAACCGCTTCGTGAGCCTGGTGTGGATGGTGCTGAGACTGGACTATTCATTCACCCAGAATCACCGTAATTCAACTCCGATGATGATGAAGTTCCAAGAAATGTGGCACAAACTGACCCTCCTGCACACATGTATGAAGTTGATTATGGTGCAATGTACGAGCCAAAATTTGCGGATATGCCTCATCTTGGTGACTATGGATATTACTCATCAATAAATAATGATGAGTTATATTTAGGCATGGAGTTTTCAAGCAAAGAAGAAGCGATGATGGCTATAAAAAATTACAATATCTGTAATTCTGTTCAGTCGAGAGTCGACCGCTCCACGATAGAAAAATATGTATGCTACTGTGCCCGACGCAAAAACGAATGCAATTGGATGGTTCGCGTATCAAAGAAGAAGAGGAAAAATAACAGATGGGAACTAACATTATACACGGTCCTCGCACATATTGTGTTGGAGGGGTTAACCAAGATCATCCCAACTTGGACTCGGAAGTGATATGTCAAGCCATCATGCCCATGGTAAAAGCAAGCTCTCATATAATGGTGGATATCGATATGGACACAGGATGACCAACTTGGCAGAGGCAATCAATTCTACCTTAAAGGGTGCACGTCACTTACCAGTAGCGACTTTGGTAAAGACTATATATTTTTGTTTGGGGGCGTTTTTTGCGAAGCTCGGGGGACAAGTTCAAACCTGGATGCAAGACGGTCATGTCTATCACCCTATATTAGTTGCAGATCTACAGAAAAAAATTCTACATCAAATGGAATGTATGTAACAAGCTTCTCTAGAAGGCATGAAATGTTTCGTGAGAGTTGTCGCGACCTCGTCAAGGGATTGAAGTTGTGTCGTTAAGAGTAAATCTAAGGGACAGACCGTGCGACTGCAGGTTTTTTCAAGCTCTGAAGTATCCATGCTCTCATGTAATAACAACTTGCTCGCATACACGTCAAGACTATACATCATTTTGTGGATCTCGTATACATACCATCTGAAGTTTTTAAGGTATACAAATTTGAGTTTCCCCCATAGGTAATGACAAAGACCCTGATGAGGTTCAAGATTGGCTTCCGATTGTACCAAATCCGAGTTTATTGATGGAGTGTGGTCGTCCAAAATCCAATCGAATTCATTGCGATATGGATATTCGAGAAATATCTAGACAAGACAGAAGATGTGGGCATTGTAGAAACCCATAACACACTAGAAAAACATGTTCACTTCTGTTGCCATCAAGTAACAATTGATGAGGAAATATTGTATTTGTTTATCAAATAATAATTCTTGTACTTTAATTTGCATTTACTTCAAGTTAATGTCATTCGATAATCACTAATGAAGATTAAAAAAATGATACAATAATACGAGATTGGACGTTTGCGTTATATGTAATTATAATAAAAGAGATAATAAGTGA